CCCACACCCACACCCACACCCACACCCACACCCGGTAAAGAAGCCGTTAAAATACGTTATGACTCAAAAATGGACCATTTTGACCGTTTTCATAATCACGAACTTTGAGTTTTTGAGTTGCGAATTAATTTAAATAATATTCAAAGTTTTTAAAGATCATATTGAATTACTAGTATTTGCTTATAAAACATAAATTTTTACATAGTCCATAATATTCTTCGAAATTATGCACTAACAATTGATTGAAAGTCTTTGATTCTAATGAAGACATAACAAACAACTCTCAAAAAACTGTTAGCTTTTGCACGGTTTTCAATAATAAAAATCGTTTACTGTCGGATCAGAAAATATCTTAATCTTCATAACGCTACTAAATGAAAATCTTTTTCCTTGGAGATGGATTTCTCTATTTGAAAAAGATCAGTATTTTTTAGCGATGTTGAATTTCTTTTGTCTCTATTAAGGTCTCCCCCCCCTCCCTCAAAAATCGATCTCAGCCCTGGCTCGTTCGAATCACATGAAATTTTCAGGATAGGTTGGGGATGTAGTGGAGAATCTGTAATAAAATTTTTAGCTCGATCCCACGACGTTTCACAGAGATATGGGCCAACCAAGGGTCAAAAATAGCTCATTTGGCAACCCAAATTTCTTGGTTCAGGCTCGTCAGATATGTTAAAATTTTTTTTGTTTGAAAGAGCATGTCAGGATACAGGGCATGAAAGAGTCCGTTTTTTTTTAATACTTACTTTTTTAGCGGAAAAAAGGAATCACAAGTTCAATGACTCAAAACACTCTCAAAAAATGGGTGTCTAATTATATAAGTGTCTATATACATAACAAAAACAAAGCTTATCTTAAAAAAAGGACTCTTTTATGCCCTGCATCTTGACATGCTCTTTCAAACAAAAAAAAAATATAAATATATCGGACGAGCCTGGACCAAGAAATTTGGGATGCACGTTTGAAAAAATGTCAACTGAGAAAAACCGAAAAACATTCTCCGATTTCTATGAAAAAAGCATATTTTTCAAGCAGAAGATGACGAAAATTATCAAAAACACGAGGTGCCAAAGAAAAAATCATGTTGTTTCTGAAAGAGCGGACACCGGGCTATCTTCCCATGCATTTATCTCAATTTCGGAATTTCTGACAAAAATTCACTTTTTTTGATGGGAAAGGCCTTAAATGACCGGCGTAATATATACAAAAGGCCTAACGCAATGCTGCATTTTGTGACTGGCAAGAAATGAAAACTATCTAAAGCGACAAGGCACGTTGTCATGTCCAAGCTATAACGAAGATGATTCAGAAGGCAACTTTTGTCAATATTACAAGTAAAATCTGGATTTTAATCGTATTCTGAGAGCACTTAACGAAAATTGAACTTTTCATTGAGACGAAATTAAATCTTTAAAATTTAGAGACAGAATTACAACTCTTCTATAGAAAATACATATCAGCGAGCAAGATTAAAAGTTATTGCTTCCTGTTCCAATCAAGTCGTGGCCAAAATTTTTCCTATTATTGTATGGTTATTTGATAAGTAACAGTAGTTTTAAAAACAGAGTAGACACTGTTAACGTTTATCTCGTGATTTATTTGTGACCAAATAATATAATCAATTCAAGACATATTCATCTAACACTTTATAAGTATTTATACGATCCATGTCTTTACGAATAATGTTTTGTAAACAACACATTTTCAATTTTTTCTTAATGTACACAGTTGATCATAGAAAATACTCAAGAATACACATATAGCTTGGTCGATTTAAGTTGTTCGATTTTTTCCGCAGCTTTTCACTAAATGAATATATGTCTCGTTACTTTCTTATTAAGAAAAACGATAGTTCTTTTTATTATGTAGATAATTACTGCAAGCGACGACACTGTGTTTTGTAATGATATAACACACAGCTTGATACAGAACATTAATTGACACGATCAGCTATTACTACAATATTATGTCGTTTTTTCTATTCAACTTTCTTTTTCGTAGAACCGGTATACATTGATCTTAACGGTCTTTCGAGTTATATATCTTGTTTTTTGTTTTCAAAACTACCTATATGCTGCTCAAGTAGAATCAGAAGAAAGACGAATTTTTCAAAACATGCATAAAAACTTAGGGCAAACAGCGAAGCTGAACGTACTTTCGAGATTTTTAACTGCATATCTAAATATATCAAATATTTGATTTCACATGTTTAGATTTTTGTACAAATACAATGTTTTCATCAATATTTATATTATTTCAAAGATATAGTGGTAGCGCAGAGGAAGCAGTTGAGAGAAAGAGTGATTGTATATGTATTTATTGTTTATCGTACACGCATTGAGGCGAAATAGTCAAGTAACACACATATCTGTGTATATTCATTAGTACTTCCACATAATTAGACGGAATGTGCACGATTAGTTCAAAGTAATCATCAGATTATTTTTATTTCTTTTTTATTCGCTATTCTCGCTTTTCTGATGATTTCGAAAATATAATGATCGAAAAACCGAATTGTATTTTCGATTATCAATTAATATTGGCAATTAATGATTCTTGATATGTTTTTACGAACAAGCCAGTCACAGATTTAAGTCAGGAGACATTTTTATTCTGAGATAACTGGATATTCATCATTGTTTTAGGTATTTATGACAGGAGAAATTAAAATCTAAAAACTTTCAAATATTCCCGCAGATAAAATAGACATTTTAATTTATCCTATGAAAATTTCACATTTTCTTGTATTTTAATTTCTCCTATAATATATCTAATCGACAATAAATTTATTATGCTCATTTCCTCTCCAATATTTTTTCTGTTTTTCCTGTTAATGTTTTGTTCTGTTCTGTATATATGAATAAATCTCATTGGTTCATTCCCATTAGTTCATAATAACCTTTGTCTTCGAACAAAGAACTATGATATCATTGTAAAAGGAAGAAACAGATAAATTCAATTCATTTTAAAGATAGACGAGTTAGTTGTAACAAGTTTGCCGTATCTATATTTCACATAACTAAGAACACATCATAAGACGGAATCTTACTTAAGTTTTTGAAATCATTTGCGCAACTTATTATATCAGTCAATCGCCACTGATGTTGTTATATATTTCCATTACCAGGAAAAATAAAGTCCTTAATTTTTTCAATTTAATCGGGATAACATTGCGGATTAGATCTTCTATTTTATTATTATGTTGTCGGGTGATATATAATAGGTACCGAGATATTAGTTATAAATTATATGGTCATTCGTTTTAAACCCAAGAAATCTATCTCATGTTATTCTATGAATAAAACGATAAAATATGTTTTAGCTCTATAATAAATTCTTGTCAGTTGACATATAACTGACATGCGCCATTGAGATAACAGAAAAAAATACGCACGAATAATTATGATATAGAGAATAGCTTCATCGAGTAAAATATGTATGATACATCTGGTATTAGGACGAAGACGAAAGAAAGATCAGTTAAGTATTTATAAAGCTTTGTACATATATCAATCATTTGTTCG